CTTTTGTTGTATGTTAAGATGTTATGTTGTATGTTATTGCGCATCAACTATGTTATGAAGTTAGTTCAGCATAAACCATGTTCTAAAGTTTCATAGTTCAGCATAAACCATGTTATAAAGTTTCACAGTTCAGCATAAACCATGTTCTAAAGATTCATAATTCAGCATCAACTACCGGTATTTTCTAAAGTTTCCAAGTTCAGCATAAACTATGTTAAAAAATTTCTTAATTCAGCATCAACTATATTCCTGTCTCTTATACACAGCATCATGGCACTCTGCAGCACGGCATAGTGTATAATGGCACTCTGCAGCACGGTATAATGCATAGTGGCACTCTGCAGCACTGTACTCTGCAGCATGGCAGAGTGCATCGTGTCACTACACGGCACTCTGCAGAGTCTTTACCAAGTGCTGAAGGCCGCTACCGTACCTAAGATAGGACAGCCCAGAAATTGAGAAGCCACTCGCTCAAGATCTTGAAAGGAAGATGAGCGGTTTTATTTTGCGGACGTTCAAAGCGAGTGAAGCTACACCGACGATTGCACTCCTCAAAGTTCTTATGATCCCTCTTTTTGAGTACTGCTGCCAGCTTTAGAACAGCGTGATATGGAAGCTCAACTATTGGGAAGGTAGAAGTGCTTGAGTCGTACTCACTGCAGAAGAGATGGAGAGCCAGGAGAGGTATGTCATTTTGCACACTGGAGAACAATAACCGGACCGGCTCCAACTCCGAAAGAGAAACCTTCTGGATTGTGACCTGTCAGAACGAAAGAAGGAGGAAATGCCTCCTTTACGCAAGAGAGCTGCTGTCAGATTTCTTCTATCTCTGCTTGAAGGACACCTTCGCGTGGCGGGACTGAGGCTGTTCAACGTCTGGCCGATGGAACTGAGAGGAGGGGAGTTCACCCGGGAGTCCTTCAAGAGACGACTGGACGGGTTCCTGGGAAGAATTCTTGTTCATCCTCCTCTGCACCACTACCGGCGGCATCATGCATCGTGCATCAGCTGGACCAAATGAGGCTATCAACAGCATCGTGCATTAGCTGGCCCAACTGAGGTCATCAACAGCATCGTGCATTAGCTGGCCCAACTGAGGCCATCAACAGCATCGTGCATTAGCTGGCCCAACTTAGGCCATCAACAGCATCGTGTATTAGCTGGCCCAACTGAGGTCATCAACAGCATCGTGCATTAGCTGGCCCAACTGAGGCCATCAACAGCATCGTGCATTAGCTGGCCCAATCGAGGCCATCAACAGCATCGTGCATTAGCTGGCCCAACCGAGGCCATCAACAGCATCGTGCATTAGCTGGCCCAACTGAGGCCATCAACAGCATCGTGCATTAGCTGGCCCAACCGAGGCCATCAACAGCATCGTGCATTAGCTGGCCCAACCGAGGCCATCAACAGCATCGTGCATTAGCTGGCCCAACCGAGGCCATCAACAGCATCGTGCATTAGCTGGCCCAACCGAGGCCATCAACAGCATCGTGCATTAGCTGGCCCAACCGAGGCCATCAACAGCATCGTGCATTAGCTGGCCCAACCGAGGCCATCAACAGCATCGTGCATTAGCTGGCCCAACCGAGGCCATCAACAGCATCGTGCATTAGCTGGCCCAACCGAGGCCATCAACAGCATCGTGCATTAGCTGGCCCAACCGAGGCCATCAACAGCATCGTGCATTAGCTGGCCCAACCGAGGCCATCAACAGCATCGTGCATTAGCTGGCCCAACCGAGGCCATCAACAGCATCGTGCATTAGCTGGCCCAACCGAGGCCATCAACAGCATCGTGCATAAGCTGGCCCAACCGAGGCCATCAACAGCATCGTGCATAAGCTGGCCCAACCGAGGCCATCAACAGCATCGTGCATAAGCTGGCCCAACTGAGGCCATCAACAGCATCGTGCATTAGCTGGCCCAACCGAGGCCATCAACAGCATCGTGCATTAGCTGGCCCAACCGAGGTCATCAACAGCATCGTGCATTAGCTGGCCCAACCGAGGTCATCAACAGCATCGTGCATCAGCTGGCCCAACTGAGGCCATCAACAGCATCTTGCATTAGCTGGCCCAACTGAGGGCAGATGCGCGGTAACTACAGACTGTCCACAGGACCTTGGCAGCGAGGACGACCTGCCTGCCGGGGAGGAGGGCGACGGAATGCAGGAGCGGCGTTCCAGTGTCACCTGCGGCTGCTACGTCTGAAATAAATACTTAGGATACATTACAATAAACATTCTGTCACCGTACACGCGCCGCGATGTTGTCACCGTACGAATCATACTGCGACGTTGTCACCGTACACACGCTGTGATGTCACCGTACACGCTTACGGTGTATAGAAGCGGCACCTGGAAGAGGTGCCTACAAGTGGTGCATGGAAGCGGTGCCTGGAATTTTTGTCTGGAAGTGATGCCTGCAAGTATTGCTTGGAAGTGGTGCCTGGAATTGTTGTCTGGAAGTGGTGCATGGAAGCGGTGCCTGGAATTGTTGTCTGGAAGTGATGCCTGCAACTGTTGCTTGGAAGCGGTGCCTAGAATTGTTGTCTGGAAGTGGTGCATGAAAGCGGTGCCTGGAATTGTTGTCTGGAAGTGGTGCCTGCAAGTGGTGCATGAAAGCGGTGCCTGGAATTGTTGTCTGGAAGTGGTGCCTGCAAGTGGTGCATGGAAGCGGTGCCTGGAATTGTTGTCTGGAAGTGGTGCCTGCAAGTGGTGCATGGAAGCGGTGCCTGGAATTGTTGTCTGGAAGTGGTGTTTGCAAGTGGTGCTTGGAAGTCGAGGGTTGGTGAAGGAGGGGCGGTGATGGAGGGACTGGCGCGCGACCTTCACTCATTCCGCGGCGCAGTTTTTACGCTCGAGTGGAACTGGCACACGCAGGGGTCCCGTTACAACCTCAGCCCCTAGACCCTAGCTCCCCAGACCCTAGCTCCCCAGACCCTAGCTCCCCCAGACCCTAGCTCCCCCAGACCCTAGCTCCCCTGACCCTAGCTCCCCAGACCCTAGCTCCCCCAGACTCTAGCTCCCCATCCCCTAGCTCCCCATGACCCTAGCTCCCCAGACCCTAGCTCTCCAGACCCTAGCTCTCCAGACCCTTGCTCTCCAGACCCTAGCTCTCCAGACCCTTGCTCTCCAGACCCTGGCTCTCCATACCCAAGCTTCCCCGACCCCAAGCTACCTAGACCGTAGCTACCTCAATCTCCCTAGACCATAGCTCTCAGAGCCTAGCCTCTAGACCCACATGCCACCTATCGCTTGCTGCCCAGACCCATGCCTCCTAGTCGCTTGCTCCCTAGACCCATGCCTCCTATCGCTTGCTCCCCAGACACATGCCTCCTATCGCTTGCTCCCCAGACCCATGCCTCCTAGTCGCTTGCTCCCCAGACCCATGTCTCCTAGTCGCTTGCTCCCCAGACCCATGTCTCCTATCGCTTGCTCCCCAGACCATGTCACCTATCGCTTGTTCCCCAGACACATGCCTCCTATCGCTTGCTCCCCAGACACATGCCTCCTATCGCTTGCTCCCCAGACCCATGCTTCTTGTAGTTCTCTCTCTAGAGTCTAGACCCATGCCTTCTAGACCCATGTTCTCTGGCATTGACAACGGTCCAGACCATGTAATGCTGCACCGTATTACACGTCAAGCTCCTTCCACGTCATGTGCAAGTCTTACACATAGTCTTGCTCTCCGTATCGCGCACCACGGTACTGTCTCCACAGCTTGAATGAACATAGTCCTATTCGCCGTATCCTGCAACACGATACTGTCTCCACAACTTGACTGAACATAGTCCTATTCGCCGTATCCTGCAACACGGTACTGTCTCCACAGCTTGACTGAACATAGTCCTATTCGCCGTATCCTGCAACACGGTACTGTCTCCACAGCTTGACTGAACATAGTCCTATTCGCCGTATCCTGCACCACGATACTGTCTCCAGAGCTTGACTGAACATAGTCCTATTCGCCGTATCCTGCAACACGATACTGTCTCCTGCTGCCTGGCGCCACCTCTGAGGCATCCCCGAACGGCTGTACTCGTTGCCCTCAGCTTATAGCTGTTTAAGCGTATGTTACGTACGGCCATGTGGCTGATACACCGTATCATGCTATATGGTACTATATAAATATGCATACCATGCCTCAAAGAATAACAGTTTATCAGCCATAGGTTTAACAGTACATCACATCTGCCCTCACATGCCCAATATGAGCGTTCGCTCAGGCCATTGCTCGTATTCATTACCGCGAAGAAACAGCTTACGGAATATGCAACTTTCGTTTTATGTTAAGATGTTATGTTGTATGTTATTGCGCATCAACTACCGTATATTATGAAGTTAGTTCAGCATGAATCATGTTCTAAAGTTTCATAGTTCAACATAAACCATGTTATAAAGTTTCACAGTTCAGCATAAACCATGTTCTAAAGTTTCATAATTCAGCATCAACTACCGGTATATTCTAAAGTTTCCAAGTTCAGCTTAAACCATGTTATAAAATTTCTTAATACAGCATCAACTATATTCTAAAGTTTCATAGTTCAGCATGAACCATGTTATAAAGTTTCAAAGTTCAGCATGAACTACACCGGCTTTCATGCTGAATCTCACCGCGCTATATACCGTTATGTGCGTTAATGATGTCGATCTTCCAGAAAGATGCCAGTTTGTAATCAATTCAATTACGCCTGCACAGTATATAAAGAAATTTCAACTTTAATATTAACCGAACAAAAACTTGTGGGTTTCAAGAAATAATCTGACAGTTGAGACACTCAGATCCCTCCTTTGATGATGACGTACAACTGCCGCGGTGTTCTCCCTATTCTCGTTTCTTGCGTTGTTTGGAAGATGGTCGAGCGTCGTTCAAGTCATGAATCTCGACGATTTTAGTAGCTCAAGTATTTAAGTTTTAATATTTAAGTAGCCCATATTATACTGGCTATCACATCCATACCCTCCTCATTACACCCCTCCTCCGAAACACGCCTCCCGTAACTCTTTTCTCTCCCCACAGGGCCGGCGACGGTGCGCATGGTGTCCACCAACAGCAGCCCTCCCATCGCGCTCCCCGTCCAGGTGCCCCCCGGCCACGTGTTGCAGCAAATTGTGGACGAGCACGGCACTCTGCAGCACGTCATCTTATCCTCCCAGCTGCCCATGTGCTACCATGTGAGTCTTGTGAAGTTATGCGAATCACGTGGTCATGTGATGTTATGTGAGTCATAGTACGACACCTTGAAGCACGCGATCTTATCTTTCCCGCTTCATACGAGCCATTTTATCAAATTTAGGACGTCTTCGTCCATAGTCACACTGATGCGCCGCTTCGTCGTTCACCGTTCCCAGGCCGTCGATAGGCAGGTTGCCTCGCCGCCGGAGTCCTGAGGTAACGTTGAACGTGGCCACCGCGCATCGGCCCTTATTTGGGCCAACTGATGCAAGATGATTTTTCTTGCTGCTTGCCGAGGGTGGTTGGGCATAGAATGTCGATACTGGATAGTGCCTAAGAACCTATATAGTGGACTTTTGAATGTCTTATGGTGAACTCGCTCTACAGCTCCATCGGCAAGGCGCTGATCAGCCTCGGTACTGTTATTGAAAGAGATCCCCCCGAATGACTGAGTATCCTGCAAGTCGCCACTGCCTTTCACTATAATATGTCACTGATCTGAAGATATCAATTTCAAAGTGTAGAGCCAGCCCGGTTATCATCTTCCAAGTGTACAATATAATATATCTCTACCTTTTCCCCTCCCATGAGTGCAGTCCTAGATGCTCCAGCTTGTCCCAGTAGGCAGTAGCACAGGGTCCCTCATCCAGCTAATCCTAGCGGTGAATGTCAGTTGGAATGCCTCCAATTGTCGCACCGCACACGCATTGAGCGGCGCCCAAAGCTAGCAGGTAGCAGCAGTATTCCAGAATGGGGAACATAAGGGCTTAGAAAAGTGCGATCATTAGCGTCGCATCTCTTGTTCGAAATTTCTGCCAGATATACCCCCATCTGTTGTCTGCATTTCGCAACTATTGCCGCGATGTGGTCATCAGACGTAGCTTCGACAATAATCAACACTTTGAGATTACGAACAAGTTATTTCCCTTCAATTTCAGTACTGCCCGATGTCAATTAGCGGTGCAGCATCCCGACTTCTACACCTACTATATATCTCCATTCATCAAACTTAGTGCCATTGAATTGCATATTATTCACTTGAGCCCAGTCGTAGATTGTCGACAAGTCATAATGTCATCCATCGTCTGTGATCCTCATCAGCACTCTTGTATCGTCCTCAAATGACGAAATATGTGTATGGGTAAGTTCCGAGTCAATATTGGCGATATTGATAAGAACGAATCGGGCCATGCTCGAGCCCTCTGACTCTCCGCTTTTCACCCTCGCCTCACTCGATTTCGAGTCTCTTGTTGCGATGGCGTGCACTCTGTGATACTCTAACGCTCATCACATAATGTGCCCACGTTGCGACGACTGTAGACGCACTATGTCTCAGTACACTATCTACATTGTTAACACTGTTAATTAACGCTCTTTCTCTCATAACACTATCTGCTCTGTCAACACTGCAGACGCTCTGTGTTCGAGTTAATCTCTTTTCACCCTGACGTTACCATCTTCTTGCCCTGAGGCTGTATAATATTCCGACGAATGTTGCTATAGCGCACGGCGAACGGTTCAATGTCACATCGACCATGCTAAGTTGAAGACGAAAACTTATAATTAAAATATTCTTCAACTATTAATGCAACAAAAATTATTTTAAACTATTTAAAACTCCGCTTCAAATTGCAATTACCGCTGCGCTTTGCATGGTCGAATTTAGTTGCCTCAATCTATATGTAGCGCTAGCTAGTATGGTTAAAAATAACTCAACGTTGTTACAACTTTTTTGTGTAGGGCGAGATATAAACTATTCGAGCATTCTATACATTGAGTTGTATTTTTAAACCCTTTTCAAGCTGGGAATTAATCTAAGCTATATTTTCTTCATACCTCGAAATTTTAATGCATGTTTTAATTTGAACACCCGAATCAACTATGTCTGAGTCTTTTTACGCATCATAGACGCACTACAGTCACACAACAACTCTACTCATTGGTCGATCGAGTGCCACATACAGTAGGACGATGCCATCAGTCGCCTCTCTCGGTGCTCTTTCTTATTTGGGGGCTTGGGGGTGGTTGTGATCGCTCATTTCGGACTTTCTTGACATGATTTCTATGATATTCACACTAAATTATCATGAATCGAATTTTCGTAAGAAAAAACTTCGAAGTATTGGTTGGTCTCGATTTTCAAACCTTGTTTTATTTCATATAACACTACCAGCGCGATGCGCTAAGCGAATTACAGCCTTACAGGTATTGTAGGATAATACATGTTGAGCTTTTGCTTGTTTAATAATTCATTTGGTTGTTTTGTTCAATTATTCTATTGGTATTTACTGCAATCACTGCGTAAATTTATTAAATTTTGATGTTATGACTTCACTTGGTGAATTCTGCGTTCTCGCTTTGCTTTTCCGTAATCGGTTACTTCGGCGTTTCAGTTATTGACGTTTTCCGAGCTGTCAAAGAGGGGTGAGCGTGGCAGCTCTGTGTTGTGGACTTGTGAAGTTGTGAATATAAACCTTGTCTTATAATCTTATTTTGTGACTTTCGTATGTCCTAAAGCTAAATTTGGTGAGTGCTTTTTGGAATTTTAATTTTTAGGGATGAATGTATCTGTTTTCAGTTATGCTGGGAAATTAATATTGTAGGTACTAGCTACTAGGTAGTAGGTACGGCGTACGCCGTACGGTAATTGGTTTTTCAGTTTTTCTAGTTTTCATTTCTAGGAAATTTTCCGAATGGATGAAATTCACAAGATTTATGTTTTTTTTTGTCTGATTTATGGGTAGCTTCTGCCTCATTTCCTAGTTAATCTATAATTAGAAAATGAAGGCCAGGTACCTAACTTTAATAAAAAATACATTCACTGTCAAATCTCAATCTGTCAATGACACATTTGTTCCCACTGCTGCAGCTGCATTGCACTGTCACTGTGACTGCAGTCTTAGTGTCTGCAGATAATAATAAGCCTACCGCCTACTGCACTTTCCATAGGCTACCACTTGTCAGTTGTCACTAACACTAAGTCACTCATACTGGCAAACAAGAGATTTTTTTAATTCAGTTCATTTTATGTGCTTTCCTCATCTGTATAAAGTATCATAATGTAGGCTATGAATTATTATAAAGCCATGCTGTAGCTACTAGGTCCATGATAAGTGATAACTACTGTCACACAGGCCCAGGGTAATATGGGATAATGGGACACTTTTTTGTTTTTGTTCTGATCTGTTGATAACCCATGGTCAGGAAGATGTGCCAGGTGCTGAGGTGCGTGGGAATTTATTCTGTCATTTTAACGACCTGCGCGGTGCGCTGTACTATTTTGGTAAAAAAATGCGCCGTGCTCCGTACTTTAGAAAGCTAAAATAGTTCTATTTTAGTCGACAATATACGCAAGTATATTGACTACGCGAGTCGAACTGACAATAATAAAATGTAAGACATGTCCAGGTTACTTCTGACTCTTCCGCTTGTCCGCCTTGTCGGATACGGAACGTACGGTAATCGTAAACTGCGGCTGTTATCATAGTGGAAGTCTATGAAGAGAGGTACTTATGTCGGTCCACCGCCTTGTGGCGGTCCGCGGTCTTAACCCTTTGCAAGGCCCCATGCCCTTGGCCCTTGGGCCCCTGTTGCAAGTTGAAATGGTCTAAACTCGACGGTTTGACTCCCATGGTCTCATCACAACTCCCTTTAGAAATATGTAAAGTTTTGAAATTGATATAAATATATCAATAAATATTTGAACTGGGAAATTCCTTACTTACTTACGTTGCTTCCAGATTTATATCAATGACGTGAAAAATGACAATGTCACAATTATGACATCAGTTAAGAAGCTTCAGCCTGGATCAGCCATGATCTCAGCTCTGCTCAGTCCTTTTACCTCGTAATTAATTATGTTAGAACATCGATGTTCAAATATTGATACTACTGGCAACTGGCAAGTGTCAATATCACAATCGAAAATATTATTCACAAATAACCATCCATTTCAATGCCAAACTAGTCCCATCTTCATGCTAGCCATATGTAAACATATGGCTAGCGGTGACGTCACACACAAGAACACGTGGGAGACAAAAAAAAGAAGCAATATTTCGCTGTACCACAAACAAATAAATGTAAATTATTAGCAATGGAAAATGTGTTTCTGCAACATTTTGAGAACGTAAATTTCAGTGTAAAACCTATTAAAATTTTACGTTTCTGTGTGGATTTTGATGCTGTTAGCATTGAAATGCTTGAAAGTATCTCTGATGCTAGAAATACTGGCTAAATACATTTTAATTTAGAAATTAACATCAATCGAAAATTCGAAATTACTGCTCTTCAGGGCTATGTTGGTTCTTGCGAACCGATTGTTGCATCCAGTCGCTTATATTGAAAATAAAATGATTTAAGCAAGTATTTCTTGCATCAGAGATAATTCAAAGTTTGCTAATGTTAACAGCATTGTAATACATGCAGAAACGTACATTTTTTTATAGATATTAAAAATTTAGGCTCTATGACTTGTATACTATGTCCATTATAGTCAATAGGATTTCAAATCGATGCATGCATTCAAATTCAAATTAGGTCCACCCACGCCCCACGGCCAGTGTAGCTGTCAGCTCACCTTTCTTCAGAAGTGTGAAAGCTTTTGCCAGTGAAGGTGTGTTTTACGATTGGTCCGTAAAGAAGCGTTGATTGGTTCAAAATGACATAAGAACAGGTTCTTTTGAATAACCTATGGATTGGCACCATGGCTGTTATACATACGAAATGTAAACAGACGGTGTTCAGTGTTGCCATATGACTTTGGAGAAAATTTCTTCTAAAATAAAGTTCTAGATTTCTCATTCACCAAATTTCCGTATCAAGAAAAATCATATATTATTGGAAGATAATTAAAGGCATACTGTACTGAGTAATGTGAGTATTATGTCTGTTCCTCCACAAACTGCTCGTGCGCGGCAGCGCAACGTAGAATTGATGGCCGGGATTGCGCAAACACGTGCGCGAAGATAATCAATTTTCATTACATTGCGCCAACTGTGCACAGCAATAGCTTAAAAAAAGTGAAAATGCACGGGAAAATTCACCGAAAACATACATCATCCTGAGTGTGGTTGATAACTTCTTACCATGGGTATGAAGGATGAAGCATTTCATAAACAAGTTTGTGCTCATTTTAAAGGCTCCATGTGCTATTTCTAAGATGCCAGAAGCAAAAAAAAAAAAAAGTGTTCCAAATTACTCCTGAGAGTGGGAACAAGGTTTTATAACTCCAAGACACTTGAAATAAAACTTGATTAATTTTAAAACATTTGAAGCATGTACTAGTCACTAGAATGTAGGGTAAACGCGGTATATTCCGTCACATTAAGGAGGCATCAAGAAATGAAAAACTATAAAAAATAACCATATGCGTTACTCAAGTTCTGTTTGCTTTAGGTGACTCTCAAAACACCATACTATGCATTGGCAACGATGAAGCGTCACAAAATGTTGCCATATTTATGTAAAAGCCTTTAGAATGCAAACCTACCAAATCCCTATATTCCGTCACTGTGTGTGGCAATATTTGGCACGTGGTGAGGCGTATTCCGTCCGCACTTCAAATTTTACTGATAGGTAATGCCGTCATCCACGTGTTTGAATTCCCTTCGCTGTGTGAGCTGTATTGGAATACAACACGGCTTTGAATTAGAACACTAATGAATATTGAACTCTAGTTAATTATGCTTTTAATTAACAACTATTAAGCTTTTAATTAAGCAAATTTTAATTTTTGTACACAGCTTGGAACGATCTGTGTGTATCCAATTCAAGTTGTGACGGAATTAGTTTTCATGTGTCTAAATCCATTTCTCAACTTAATCATCTATTAATTTATTTACCACTTGGAATCAGCGAATACAAGTATACTTAAAGAATTCCTAATATATTCACAGACTTATTTAAAAGTCTCAAACCATAATATTCTTCAAATTTGACACATTTTTCGATGATGTCACTGGGTAGCGTGCATTGTCTCTCTTTGGATCTCAATATTTTCCCACTAGATGGCCAAGACCTAGTGTTTTGGCAGTAGTTTGACGCACAAATGTATGACGTCATCATTTCAACCGTCTCAACGAACGCATGGAACTAAAACAAAGCTTAATATAAAGGAAAAGCTAGAGAGGTGACGGAATTACCCACGATGACGGAATATACCGCAGTTACCCTACTCGTCCATTGCTAATAGTAGGCTACTCTACTCCAAAGTCCTCCTCTTTATTTACAGATGATGTAGAATAAATGACATTTTCTGTGATTTGTACTTGTTTTCCCTTTATTGGTGATATTATGGTATTAATTTTTCATTAAGAAAAACTATTTTATCCATTCTGTACCTCACACTTGTAAAAAAAAAAAACAAAAAACTTCTGTGTCATTTACAACCTTGTCCACTGCAAGTTTCATGTCAGCAGCTGTATAGCATTCCTTCTATAAGCTTACAGGACTTTGATAGTAGGCTAATTTGCACCAGTTCCAATTGGGTCAAGTAAATTCACTGTAAAAAAATTTACTGTACCAGAAAAAAAATGAAAAACTTGCCTGAAAGGCTGAAACAGAAAGAAATATTCAAGTGACAAGTGTTATAGGTACTTTTGGAGAAAATAACCATAGTTTAGTACAATTGCTTTTCATTCTATGTTGCCTAGTGCACAATTCTATCTATGACATTCTGTGCAAATATTATAATGACCAAAGATGCAATAATTTTTTGTTGAGTGAAATTTTCTGGCTGTGATGAGTAAATTTAATCAAAATTCTTTGTCATTAAACAATTTTATTGTTAACCAGAGCTTTCTTAGAGTCTGGCCGATATTCCAGATTGGGCTTTGATTATGTTTTAATGCAGGCTGTGTGATTATGATTATGGGTAAATAATGATTAATGGTAAAATGCATGATGGCAATGTTGTTAGATTAGTACTTTTACTAATGTGTATTGTGGCCAAGTTGTTTGTGTTTAAATTGGCACAGAATTTGCTCTTAATGTTCAAATGATCTTGTCTTGCTTCAAGTGAATTAGTGAATCTGTTCACAAAGTGATTAGAAATATGGTAGTCTGATTTTTTTTTAATGCCGTGTAAACAACAGTCTGGATAGTGCACAGCTGGCAGCCTAGTAAGCAGGGCAGAATTTTAGTATATGGTCCTGTGGGCCAATATAAATCCTGTGGAGCAATTGTGAAGCTCAAAAGTCACTAAGAGGGAGAGTAGGGGGTATAGCTTGTGATCTTATGTATGTTATGCTAAATTACTTAGTAAGTTGTAGTATGCATTTTGGCAAAAAACCTGAGTGAGACAATGAGTGAAAACCTGAGTGCTTTTTAACTGGTTCTGGTATTGAAGCTGATGATTGAATTCTGTGCATGTATATGGCCTCTTATCATTATAATTACCATTATCTATATAGATCATTAGAAGTCACTTACAGTGCTATGACATCAAAAAGGTTCCTTAAATAAAGGAAACTGTAAGGCATGTATATGATGTATATAACACCAATGTCATTACCAGTGTGAAGTTCTAGATGTAAATATGTGAACTTGTTCACCAAACACATAGGATTTGCATATGTACTTACATGTCTGCTTGAATTTAAAATCACAGAAACGTGAGCTCATGGCAGAGAGCATCATGTCAACAGTTCTCTGTTTCACTCTGATGTTGATATTATGATATTATATATAATTGATGGCTGGGTTAAAATTTATTTCAATTGATAACTTTACTTGCCATCCAACTGCCCTAGTGCTCCCCTGCTTCATAACTGCCTTGGCACTTCTCTACTCAATGATCTCCAGGCAAATGTCATATCATGAAATACAGGATATACATAAATCTAAATTAATATCCAGGTATGTTCTTAATGGTTTGCTTTAGAGTCCTCAAAAAACATCTTATTTATATCATTGTTAATTATATCTTTTGGCATAGCAACATTTAAGTCACATTTTTATTCCTGCTTGTGTGCAGAGTGGCAATTCTGGACAGCCCGGAGCCCATCAGTTTTATGGGACAACACCACATTCAGGCAACACCCAAGGCTACATTGCCTCGTACCAGCCTAACCCTGCTCAGTATTCTCCTGTCATGACCCCACCCTCAATGACCCAACGTGAGTCTTGTAATCACCTTCAGAGCAGGGTGGTATAATGGAGCTATAAATTGGTATACCAGGCATATACTGGTACCTATTGATCATTGACCAAACTATTGTGTAGTTACAGCAAGGCTGAACCTGGGCTTTGATCATGTTGGGTATCTTCCCTTTGATTAATTTTGTTGCTTATTCTCTTACTACCTAGGGCTGTGCCCTATTGACTTGGATCATTGATATTGACTTGGACCGTTTTAACCTTTAAGTAAGGGAAACCCATGAACTCCAAAAATTCTTGCCTTAGAAAAATTTGTGTTTATGGCTCCTGAAGTACCTACAAATGCAATAAAGAGATATATTTTTAATATTTATTCTGAGACTATTTTAATCACAAAAAAAAACACTAAAAATGGTCCAAGTCAATGATATATTACAGTAAATGTAAAAGATCATGGGTCTCCTGTTTTCTTGGGAAACTGCAGCAAAAACGTCAATTGTGGTGCTTGAGCAACCAGGTCCTCATTATGCTTGAATTTTGACTTTCAAAAATGTCAAATGATGATGAATGAATAAAATATCTGTGATATATCTATGAATGAATCAGAATATCAATGATAGCTATGGATACAATGAATGGCAGATTATTGCTGATTGCTAGTGACATAATAGATTTGACAATATGTGTCATGATTGTTTTGATGATGGTATATTATTGTGCATTAACCTCATGGTTTTTATACTATGTAGTTATACAGTATCATTCTTTTGTAAAATAATCAAGCTTATTAGGCATTTTTATGTTCATTGTTAGTTATAATTGCTGTGTAATTATTGCAGCATCAACTCCTCCTCTTAACTATGGCAAGCAAGAACGACATCTTGCAGGTGGGCGTCATTTTGACAAGCCCCGCCAGAAGTTCTACTCAAGACCCCAGCAGCAGCAGCAGCTGTCTGCCAACCATCAGATGCACTCCAACTACACCCACCAAGCCGGCCGCACTCCCAACAACGTCTGCCTGCTGAACACTCCACCCACTTCCCCGAAGAAAGGTAACCTAGCACTCCCCCACATTCCCTAAGATAGGTAACTGGTAATAGTATCCAAAGATAAGTAACTGGTAATAGTATCCTAAGATAAGTAACTGGTAATAGTATCTTAAGATAAGTAACTGGTAATAGTATCCTAAGATAAGTAACTGGTAATAGTATCCTAAGATAAGTAACTGGTAATAGTATCCTAAGAGAGCTAACTGGTAATAGTATCCTAAGATAGATAATTCCTCATTATTATGGTGCGCACATCACAGCATTATTGTCGCCTGCAGATGACGCGGCGAGAGGACGTGATGATGAACGAGGGGAGGAGGGCGAGGACATGCCCGCCCCTCTCGCGGAGCTCCTCTCTCACATCCCACTAATTGAGGTGAGTATTAACTTGGAGCCTGAGCAGCAGCTTTCATATATTAATTTTCCATCGCATTATGAAATTGGTGATCTTCAAGTATCGCGCTTTTCACTTACACTGCATCAGCATAACACTTATGTTGTGTTATCAGTGACGTGACATGTTTGAGTTTGTGACACACAGTGTGTTATCAGTTACCTCTTGTTACAGACTTGTTTGCTTTACAGGTAACGAACGTGACGCCGTTCAGTGCAGTAGTGCAGTGGCAGCCTCCCCTGCTCCCACACTTCTCCCCCCCGCAACAGTATTGCCCAGACGGTAGCCATGAGCAGCCTGCAGGGGGTGGCAGGAATAACCTGGGCAGCGATGAGATGACAGTTGACGCGGGGGTCAGCTACACTGCAGCCGACGTCAGTTACACGGCGGCTGATGTTAGCTACACAGCGGCTGACATCACCTATGAAGTTTTTGTTAACGGCCACCTTGTGGGTTCAGTAACGGCTGCCACCAGCTATCAGCTGCATGACCTCAAGCCGGGCTACGAGTATAAGCTGCAGTAAGTCATGCATCTATCAACACCTGGAAATATCTGTCAATAAAGCATCCATCTACACCCAGAAATTTCTATCATACATTGGAAAATTGATCGTGGAAGGGAATTTTAACAAGCACCTGTTGGTACAGGCTTGCTTGTGGCAGTAGTTAGGCTTCTCAATCAAAATTTATGTCAGACCCAATGACTGCATTGTGGGAGGTTTAAATAGCAAAAAATTTCATAGCTTGTAACCAGTGAAGGGCAATTTCCTGTTGTTGACACTTCAGAACTAATAGTCTATTTGTGGCAGGCTGCTGTGCTGCTGCGCTGGGATACGCGCCACATCGCTGAGCCGTGAGGTTATCTTCGTCACTCCAACCACCGTCCCTGAGCAGCCGTCGCCTCCACGACTCTTCAACAAGTCCAAGAACAGCCTCTTTGTCAAGTGAGTGAGAGGTGACAAGAACAGCCTCTTTGTTATGTGAGTGAGAGGTGACAATAACAGCCTCTTGTCAAGTAAGTGAGAGGTGACAAGAATAGCCTATTTGTCAAGTGAGTGAGAGGTGACAATAACAGCCTCTTTGTCAGGTGAGTGAGAGGTGACAATAACAGCCTCTTTGTCAAGTGAGTGAGAGGTGACAAGAACAGCCTCTTTGTCAAGTGAGTGAGAGGTGACAAGAACAGCCTTTTTGTCAAGTGAGTGAGAGGTGACAAGAACAGCCTCTTTGTCAAGTGAGTGAGAGGTGACAAGAACAGCCTTTTTGTCAAGTGAGTGAGAGGTGACAAGAACAGCCTTTTTGTCAAGTGTTGAGAGGTGACAAGGACAGCCTCTTTGTCTAATGAGAGGTGACAAGAACAGCCTTTTTTGTCAAGTGAGTGAGAGGTGACAAGAACAGCCTTTTTGTCAAGTGTTGAGAGGTGACAAGGACAGCCTCTTTGTCAAGTGAGTGAGAGCCTGAGAGGTGACAAGGACAGCCTCTTTGTCAAGTGACTTTGGAACCTTGGAGGTGACAAGAATGAGCCGTGTTTTGAGAAAATGCAGCCGGGAAGCCTGTGTCATGTTGAAATCAAGATACATTCCAATACTTTAACTGTTGGGCATAGTAGAAAAATGTGGCAATTTCAAGTGTTCTCGTCTCTTGGTTTAGCGTCTTGACCTAACCGAGTTGTTCTCTTCAGTTACATTTGCAGTAAATTCACTTGTAGTTAGCCACATGCTAGTGCTGATGGTAGCGTGAGCTGTAAACAGGATTCACTTACAGGTGCGCACTGTACCTTACAATGTCGATATTGTGCCTTATGTACGTTTGCATCATGCACTTGTGCACAAGGTAACCTACATGTGTTGTAGTGCCTGATGTACTTGTACCTCTTGCACTAGTACACATTGTACCCCCACATAACATAATCATTTACTCCATTCCTACAGGTGGGTGCCACCTAAAGATGGAGGTGCGCGCATCTCGAGCTACACGTTACAGATCACGGAAGGCAGCGCTGAAGGGGAGGGGCTCTGGAGGGACGCGTACTGTGGCCGCGGCCGTGATTTCACCGTCAACAACCTCACTCCGGCCACCAGCTACAGACTTCGCATTGCCGCCTTCAACCTTAATGGACCCAGGTGCAGTCAAGGCTCTTTGTGCAGTTAGGGCTCCAGGTGCAGTCAAGACTCCAGGTGCAATCAGGCCTTCAAGTGTAGTCTGGAATCATGGTGCAGTCAGGTAGCCAGCTGAAGTCAAGGCTTCATGGAATTTGATGGGTAGGTACACCAGCAGGCAGGCGTATAGGCTCTGCGTCAACAGATTCAAGTCTCTCAATGAAGCAAACTATTGTAATCCACTCATAGGCTGGCATTGTCAGGGACTAAGACCAAGCTATCTGTGTTTGCAGCAACTGGAGCAGGGAGCTCGTGTGCAGCACGTGTGGGGTACCCCCCGCCAAGCCGTGCCCCCCTACGCTCCTGAAGGCGACGGTGTCATCCCTGCTGCTGTCCTGGCCCCGCCAGTCTCCCAATGAGCGATACGTCCTCAAGATGGAGGACTGCCAGAACACCTACGGCTTCCTCGTTGTCTACAGAGGACCTGACAACTCCTACTGCTGCTCCCAACTGCGGCGGAGCAGCAGCTACAACTTCAGGGTAAGTTGTTTTGGAGTCAGTGTAAATGGTTTTGGAGTGAGGGTAAGTGGTTTTTCTGTTCAGGGTGAGTGGTTTTAGGATTAGGGTAAGTTGATGTTTATATTTGAAGATTATCCAAGCAATCAGGACCCCCCTTTATTAAGGATGTGTTGGAGTTGGTCTTCTAGTCGTGAACCTACACTTTGTCCTGATCTCGTCTTCGGTTAAGCGGATGGACGAAAATATAATTGTAATGAAAAATTGTGTTATCTTCCTTTTAATATAGATGCATAATCATCATTGTTCAGATATGATTCGAGGTAATTTGTTTATCCACTGTCATTGTTCCGTCAGCTCGGTGCTGAGTCAGATGAAGGCTCGTCACCTCCATCGGACGTGGTTTGTTACTGCACGCTTCCTGAGCCCCCAGGGGCGCCTTCCCCACCCTCCGTCAAGGGGCGCCGCAGCCACGTGCTGCGTTTCACGTGGGGTCCTCCAGCAGACACCGGCGGCGCCCCCATCCTCAGCTACAGGCTGCTGCTGGATAGTGGCAATGGTGAGCCTTGCTCACTTGATAGGTATAAATGAGCTCTGTTCCCAATTGTATATCTGCCCCAATATTTAATGAGCTCTGTCACTAATTGTAGTGATGAATAGTGAGTCCTGCCTTAATTGTAGTGATGAATAGTGAGTCCTGCCCTAATTTTAGTGATGAATAGTGAGTCCTGTCCTAATTGTAGGGATGAATATTGAGTCCTGCCCTAATTGTAGGGATGAATAGTGAGTCCTGCCCTAATTGTAGTGATGAATAGTGAGTCCTACCCTAATTGTAGGGATGAATAGTGGCATCCTGCCCTAATTGTAGGGATGAATAATCAATAGTGAGCTCTGCCCCCAATTTTAGCAATGAATGACATGAGTCCTCTTTCGTGGGTAGTGATGAATAATGATCGCTGCTTGCAGGATTCGAGGTGGCGTACGAGGGCACGTCGTGCGAGTGCGAGTGCCGCGATCTGACGCCAGGCAAAACGTACGCGGCAGCGGCTCAGGCTGTCAGCAGCGGCGGGGAGGGGCACTGCAGCAAGCCTGTCATGGCCACCACTGAGCCAGTTGTGCCTCAGCAGTGTCCCCCGCCTGCCCTGGCAGCCAAGCCCAAGGCCAACGTCCTCCAGCTCAAGTGGGGTCAGTAACGCGGCTCTAGTGGGGTCAGTAACGCGGCTCAAGTGGGGTCAGTAACGCGGCTCACGTGGGATCAGTAACGCGGCTCAAGTGGGGTCAGTAACGCGGCTCAAGTGGGGTCAGTAACGCGGCTCAAGTGGGGTCAGTAACGCGGCTCAAGTGGGGTCAGTAACGCGGCTCTAGTGGGGTCAGTAACGCGGCTCTAATGGGGTCAGTAACGCGGCTCAAGTGGGGTTAGTAACGCGGCTCTAATGGGGTCAGTAACGCGGCTCAAGTGGGGTCAGTAACGCGGCTCAAGTGGGGTCAGTAACGCGGCTCTAATGGGGTCAGTAACGCAGCTCATGTGGGGTCAGTAACGCGGCTCAAGTGGGGTCAGTAACGTGGCTTAAGTGGGTTCAGTAACGCAGCTCATGTGGGGCCAGTAACGCGGCTCAAGTGGGGTCGGTAACAGACTACAAGCTAAATGCGAAAAAGTACAAGTTCTTTGCAATTACATACATATGTTATGAATTGTAATAAGGATATTATTCAAATGTGTTTTGCACTAATTCTAAAAGTTAATGCCGCATGTGCCTTGGAGGCCATCAATCACCTTCAGTGTTGGTGTGACTTATGCAGCAAATGTATTGACATTTAAACTACCCCCTGATTTTACCGAAACGATAGGTGTTGTTATGGCAGATTGTCAACGTAACTTCAAAATAATCCGTTGATGCTCCCATTTAGGTTGGCAGTGCAAGTGTGGCCCCATCAATATCGTACTGTAGGATTTGAACATATTTCTCGTTTGCTACCACAGGTCAGGGTCTTTTTTTTTTTTGTCACCAAATTGATGATGTTTCTGAACTGTGAACATGTGCTAGGCATTTCTATCCAACTAAAGTCTTGAATGCCTCCTCCAGACCCACCTGCATTTGACGGAGGCTCTATCGTCACCGAGTACAACGTTGAGCTGCAGCAGCCCCAGGGTGACGCGAGACTCGTCTACAGCGGCGTCAGCCTCGCCTGCACCGTTGCTGGGTCAGTGGGCCTCGTGCGTCGCTGGGTCAGTGGGCCTCAAGCGTCGTTGGGTTAGTGGGCCTCAAGCGTAGCTGGGTCAGTGGGCCTCAAGCGTAGCTGGGTCAGTGGGCCTCATGCGTCGCTGGGTCAGTGGGCCACGAGCGTTACTGGGCCAGTGGGCCACAAGCTCTGGTGCTTCAGAGCTGAGCTCTCGCGGTGCCTGTGTGGCGTGAACTGTTGTGAATTGACATCACAGTAACGCGGTCGTAGAGTGTTTGCTGTGAGGGTGAGCAGATGTTCACACCGTCAGCTTGTGTGCCGTTTGCTGCCTGGTGTTCTCACCATCAGTTTGTGTGCAGTTTGCTGCCTGGTCGACCCTACACGCTGCTGGTGCGGGCGGTGAACGCTGTGGGCCCTGGCCCCTGGTCTGAACCACTGCAGGTGGTGAGTGGACCCGCTCCTCCTGAGGCCCCTCGATGCCCCCAGCTAGCCTGCCGCTCCCCTACCGTCGTCTGCGTCAGCTGGGACGAGCCTGCCAATAACGGCGCTTGTATCGAGGCCTACAACGTAGAAGTGGCTGAGGTGCGGCCAGCGCTGTCTGTCCTGAAAAAGTTAATTTCGTTCTTTGCGAGCTATTCGTGCTCAAAATTTTTGTTGCATTGATGACATTTAGTATCAGTAAACATAGGGTTTACACTGTCTACTGATGGGGACTCTCATTACCAGGCATTTCGGAAGTATTAGCTTTGAACCAGCTAATATACCCGAAGGCAAGGGGTTAAGTTACCCCGATGTTTCAGGTGTCGCCCTCACACCCGGAGTCATCAGAATCGTCATCGACGTGCGGAGACTCGGAGCCCACAGATCTTACGTTTACCCACGCCACATCGTCAACCACGACGAGCGCTGAAGTCAAGCATCTCCAGCCCGATACGTCGTACGCTATGCGGGTGTGCGCTCTCAACGCGGCGGGGCTTGGTGGCTTCTCACCACACTCCATCGTCATGACCCCGCCTTCTGCGCCATCGGCGCCCACCCACGTCACGGCCACCGTCACCTGCACGTCCATAAACCTGAGATGGACAGAACCCAAGTGTAATGGCGACCCTATTCTCCATTATCTGATAGACCTGGCTGACGCCGGGCGATCTATCGCCACCGCGGGGCCTGTGGTTGAGTGCACGATTCCCGACTGTCTCCCTGATACTCAATACAAGTAAGTCCTCACTGCGCATCGCCTTCCTTCATGAAACATAACATGCGAAGGTTTGATGCTCGAAGCATAAAGGCTTGATGCTTGAAGCATCAAGCCTTTGGAAGGAAAAATTACTCTCCGATTCCACAATTACAATTTTTTATGATCTCAGTTAGCCTTAAAAGTGAGTGGCGGTTGAAGTTAAGTCTTCCACAGTATGGGAAATTAGGTCTTCAAAGTAGGTCAATACATGTCTCCAGCCCTAGAACCAGCCTTTGAATAATAGAGCGAATTTTAATTATAATCTACAACCTCTATTATGTTGGAAGGTGACACTGTTCTTATAACGATTATTTTGACCTAGAACATTTTTTTCACTCTCATTGTTTGTGCAGGCTAAGAGTTCAAGCAGTAAACGGGGTCGGTATCGGTCCTGCAAGCGCCACTTTTAAGTGCCACACGAGCCGCCTACCGCCTGCGCCCCCCGCGCTCGAGCTCCTCAAGGCGTCCCACAATTCGCTGAAAGTTTCCTGGGGCGAGAAGAAGCAGAGTATCCTCAAGAACGACCAGCTCACCTACTGCTTGCAAATGGAATTCCCCAACCCGCAAAACCAAAGCCTAGAGTGAGTCATGGTTAACGAGCTCGAGGGTTCCACCTAGTGCAGTGCTTTCATGCATTCTTCTTTAAGGACTAAAGTATACAATATGCAGAAGTTTTAATTAATTTATAAATCCAATAAAATTAAGTATGACCATTTTCTAAGATGAATTGACTCCTTTGTATTTTCAAAATTTTGCATATTGAAAGAAAAATCAATATATTTCTGTTGAGTAATTAGTTAAATACAGTGACTACGCTTAATAAATTGATATTAATCAAATTTCAGACTTCGGATTGCAATTATTTACAAAATAACTTTAATCTGATTAAAAAAAATAACCATCTTACTGTTATTATTTGGATAAACGTTACTAGTTCCGTCTTTCTTAAAGAATGCCGAATGAGCGACCATTTCCTTGTCTGAGATACAAATTGTATTTAAATGCTCTTATTTAAATTATTTAATTCAAATACAAGCATAGGATGTGGGGTTCCTCTATGTATGACGATTTTAAGTGAGTCACAAATGACAATTTGCCCTCTAGTGAGTTAAAGAATTCTTGCACATTGTAGGAAGGTTTACCGTGCGAGAAATGAAGAAATGCTAAAGCATCTGTAATTCAGAATTGCGTAATGCGTAACCTATGATATATTGCAGTGAACTCTCGGTATCTGTGTTTCATTCCAGTGATGTTGTCTTAATTGGTCAATGTACTCCAATTGCAAATTATTTAATTCTTTCATTCTCAAATCTGCCGGAAAAATGTAGAAATAGAAGTCATGGTCCAGGAAAGCAGTTAATCTTTTATGTGGACTTCTCAGTTTTTGAGATTCCTTGATGTGCAATCAGGTTCTGTGGTTTCGGCATGCACCTTCTTGGTCGCATTTCTGAGACTTTTATGCTCACTCAGGTTCTACCAAGTGTACTGCGGCTCGGGCACCTCGTACAGGCTCACGCGACTGGACGAAGCCACCCCTTACAGGCTCAGAATTTGTGCGTCCAGCGAGGCTGGCGTCGGACCAAACTCAGAGCCCGTCGAGTTCCGCACCACATGGGCGCCTCCTGTCGCCCCTAAGGGTGAGGCTACTGGTTGACAAGCTACCTTATTCAACTTATTTGTATCTAAATAATAGGTCCATCTGTTCAAGATCTCGTGCCTTGGGTAGCAAGAATCAGCCATATTGTCATGACCAATGTTTCCATGTCAACTAACTTACTCGGACTAATATCAACGGAGAATATGTTCACTACTAGCAAATTTTTTTACTAGGTTCGTATTTTAGGAACAAAAAGACTTTAGAGGTTATAATATATTTTTTCTAAAAGAAGCAGTATTGGTATAAAAGCTTACCCACAATCAGAGCAAGAGTTTTTGCGCAGCGCCTCGAGCAACCGAGCGTCTGGAGGAGGGGGCGGTGAAGTACGAGGTGGAGTGGTGCCCCGTTCGCTGCCACGGCGGCACTCCCGTCACCTACGTCCTCCAGGCACGCATCGCCACCAAGCAGCTTGATTACACCACCGTACGTCTCTGTTATGTTTACTTTATACCACCGCACGTCTCTGTTACGTTTACTTTATACCACCGCACGTCTCTGTTACGTTTACTTTGTACCACCGCACGTCTCTGTTACGTTTACTTTGTACCACCGCATGTCTGTTACATTTACTTTATACCACCGTACGTCTTTGTTACGTTTACTTTATACCATCAAACGTCTCTGTTCCATTTACTTTATACCGCCATACGTCTCTGTTACATTTACTTTATGCCGCCATACGTCTCTGTTACCCCCCCCCCAAAGAAGCCTGCCGACCCTGCAAAACGAATATTGGACCTTCGGCGCGAAATAGACGACACTGATCTGAAGCGCTAGAAACCTCTCCCTACTACTACTACTACAGTCTCTGTTACATTTACTTTATACCACCTTACGTCTCTGTTACATTTACCTCACACCACTGTACGTCTCAGTTACATTTACCTCACACCACCATACGTCTCTGTTACATTTACCTCACACCACCGTACGTTAGCCTAGATTGTGCAGATGTTACCGTGTATGACTGCACATTGTCCCATTGAGGATACGTTTGAAATCCCAATAGTGAGCATATCGCTAGACATGTGTTGAGTGTGCCTTGTCGTGTGCAGGTGTACACGGGAAGCGACACGCGACACGTGATGGACGTGTGCCCTGGAGCTCTGTATAACGTACGAGTCTGTGCCGTACGCCAGCTGCAGGGCGGGCAAGGGACGCTGCCAGGCGCATACTCTTCACCCACGGTGTTCAACGCCCCTGACGCGGTGCAGCCTACCAGGCCTCTCAGCGACAACACTCACCATGTATGTTCCGTATAAGTATGCGCATCTGTCAACTCATATATTCACTTAATGCAAATATCAAGTTATGTAGGATCATAGCAGTAAACTAATCAGCATGCACTATGCTATGATAAACGTGCAATCGGCTGTGGACTCTGCTTCTATCCTCGAGCAGCAGCAGCAGCAGTAATATGTTTATCAGTGTATGTCGGCATGTCGTCGCATAACTTCTACCTGGCATGTCCCAACACCGTGGCAGGAGTTATTGTGTTCTAGTTCTGCTGTCCCACCTGCCCCATTCTGCTGTAGTCCTTTGCACTCGACTGAACGACGTTCCTGTGTCTGAGAGCTTTTGGGCCCAGGCCCTAATGCCACAGATTTAAGGATCTTTGAATCTCAGCTTCTTTTCAAAATAATATCTTATTTTTACTGCTCTCATAGTTCTTTTTCGTTTTAAATTGTCAATGTAAAAGTTTTTGCATCATTCAACCCGTTTATCAGGCTATCAAAATCACAATTCCGCGTGTAAATTTGACTGTTCTGTCAATTTTTCTTGCTTTCATTAACTTTAAAACTGAAGATGGAGCTGGCCTTCAAATTATTTTAGATGAAATTATTGTTGATTTACATTAAATTTTCTTTTAAATTTCTGGTTAATTCGTGATCACAACTCCTATATGAATCACTTAAATTTTTTTATGGCAACTTAAATTTTTTTATGGCAATGACATATTATTAGGAATAGGCGTATGTGTTGTGAGAATATGACGTGTGTGCAGCGTGGCAGCGCCGGCGGGCGGACGAAGCTCTCGTGGCAGGACCTGACGGACGCTCAGAAGGCGGCGCTGCTGGTGACGGTGTTCTCGCTGCTCGCAGCGCTCCTTGCATACGCCCTCGCGCCCGCCCTGCACACTTGAGTCGTCACGACAACAGCACCTCAGCTTCTCATCAACACCACTTGATGGGATTAATCCCATTTCACTAAATAACAATGCAGAACAGTGTTCGTTTCCCATAACCGTGCATTTTATTCCTTTCAAGTTTATTTTTTCTACTTTTTTACACATATAGTGTTGCAAAATAACTTTCATTGCTGATCAGGTTGAAAGGCCGAATACGGTTCGTCCTAACCAGCACGTCGGGCTATAGCCTTGATGAGTGCTCACTGGAAAGCACGTTAGTTACCGCAGTTACGGCCGGCCACACCAAATGCTGGACCTTAATTATTGTTCAATGTGGTGAGATATTTCTTGGTGTAGCAAGTCATAGTAAACGATTGTATTTTCTTAATAAATCTATTATATGATTAAAGTATGGAATATTTTCATTGAGATTTGTTATTGGATTGTAATACTATTGGGTTTGTTTTGTGAGCGCCTCCACGCGTCCAAACCAAATAAGGCGCTGCTTTAGTCTTCTTGCAAGGTCCTGACGGCGACTGGAGCACGCACCAATTAGGGTAGCTTCCTTTCAAAAGTTGTTGACTTCTCAATGAATTTGTACGTTCTTTAGTCGTGAGAAATAGTTTCTCGAGAGAAGCCACCCGATAATTAGGAGCTTGCTGTCTATTCTCTATAGCTAATTTAGCTTTTCCCATGAGATGCAGGAAATGTATTTTTGCATCTTGACTTGACAGATGATGTGTTGGGTGTTGGTGCCTAGTGATGTTGTAACCACAGCTTTCTTGTTACTTGTGCAGGAAGTTATGGGATTTATTTCTTGATACGTGATGCGTCAGGCCGCAGCTAGCTCATAACTTGTAGCATTTATTAATGCGTTACATTACTTGATCACCTGTTAATAGTGTACGGTTATATCAAGTTCAGTTTAGATGTGATCCTGTGCACTCTCGGCACTACAGGTCATAAGTTGGCTCGTATGTAGAGCGCAACTGCATCGTTTATGTGTGATGTTTGGTATACATGTGTGTTGTGTGTGCACGTCTTAAAGCGCTTGTGAGTACCGCATTTCGTTAAATCGGCAGTATGCAATGGCTGAGAGCGCTCGCTTCATCAGCAGCTGTCAAGGTTCAAGTCCTGCGTCCCATTGCACTACAGTGAAAACACTCCCTCGGTTGAAGCTTACAGCTGACGAAAGTCACGATTACAATCTTGCGTGGAATACTAAGCAGATTGTTTTTGTTCTCTACAATGATTGAGCGTGATCTTGTTATTGTTCTTATAATATTCGGAATTATCTCGCCTGAAAACGGAGCTGCACAATTCACGAGTTATGACTGAAACAACACTTCTAGGATTTACAACATCATGAATGGCAAGAGCTAATGGAAGCCACGTTTATTCGTTACCTTCTATTTATTTGAAGTATTAGAGTTTTTCTTGTTATGATTTATCGAGGAACGAAGTTGGAGTAGGGCGCTGCCAGTGCTTAATCATGTGCATAGTTGGGTGGAGCATCATTGCGCGATGGCAGCTTCTCTTGCGTGCTATCTGGCGCAGCAAAAAATAAGCGCGCACATCCTCTCTCATTATGCTGGGGGGATTTGTGAATCTGAACTGTTCACGTCTTGTCTTAATATTGCTTGGTGGGTTCTTCTGGCGTGGGGTAAGTGTTTGCTGCCTTGTGAGCAGCCGGCAATTATTCAACGGGTATGAAAACCTGGAGAGTTAAGTGGCGGGAGAAGAAGCTACTGCAGTAGCCTGTGTAACGTGTGTGATTACCCTAAAGTAAAACAAATTCAACGTGTCTCAACATTTATTTGCATTTAATGTCGAAGGGTGTATCGCTGACATCATTATTGTATCGGTCCTTTGACATAGGCATTTATTTATAGTATTATATTCTAGGAGATAACTTTTGTTGCTTTGTCGGGATTTTTTTTAGTACAGAGCTGTGGGACACTATTAACTGTCTTATTTCACAGTGTTTTATTTTATTTTCTTCCATATCTAATTGTAATATTGATGTATTTGTTTGTAACTTATTATTTGTAGGTTAGACATAGTTTAGCTAGTTTTGATACGACATCGTCCATATATCATTGAGACTTGACGACCGTTGCGCTCGATTGCAGTTGTTGTTAACTATAGTAACTCGAGACTCGGTCACTGACCCGGACACTGCTGTGTTGATGGTCACTAGCACTGCCACTGCTGTGTTGACGGTCACTAGCACTGCCACTGCTATGTTGACGGTCACTAGCACTGCCACTGCTGTGTTGACGGTCACTAGCACTGCCACTGCTGTGCTGATGATCACTTGAGATATCGACATCAGCCAAACACTAACAGCCGCCAGCCAAACACTAACAGCCGCCAGCTAACACTAACAGCCGCCAGCCGACTATTGGGAGCCTCCAGTCACCATCACCACATGACGTCCTCCAGCCTGTCGCGACGCTTCATTACGTTAGCCTTGCTACTTGCATCGTCGCTGCTGTCACTCAAATACATAAATATATATACCGATGAACAAGTTAACTCTCTAAACTAGAGCTGGTGGTGTTCTTATGCCTAATATAAGTTTCAGACTTTTTTTATATTATATGTGCTTTGAATATCTCGCTGTTACTTTCTACGGTTGCATTATTTATGATTTTACTGCATTTGGCGTTTGCGTTTTAGTTCTCCCCTAGTCGCTTGTTACAATTCCTATTTAGCGTGCTTTATTTTACAACAATAATAATGCTCGAGTGCTGGATTTTCACGGGATCTTCATCACTTCCGGTTTCGAACATTTATGATAAGAATCCATTCGCTATGGCGAAATAGCATCAGCGTTGCTCTCGTCCCAGAAAATGTCTAGGTACTTGCTTCGCGCCGTGCATTATTAGCACTTTTAAGGTCGCCCCTTTTTAAGTTCATTGTTGACAACGAAACACTGCTTTAACGACCAGTCTTGCTACCCGTTTTTTGTTATGGTTGGTGTCTTATAATTATTGTTGTCTTATGCTGTAGTTCTCGTTAACCTATCTCCGTGTTATGTGCACTTAAGCATTTCATCGTCCTAGCTTGCCTTTTTATTAATGAGTGGACACATAACTTTAATATTACCTACCGACCTTATTTCGATGGTTCGAGAATTGTCTTGAATGCACCACTCCTGCACATGTTACTTGTTCGAGTGTGCAATCTTAAGAAATTACCAGTATATATTTCTATTGTGAAAGCTGCTGTGCCAGCTCCCCTGTACCTTGCAAAGTTGATCCACGGCCTCTTCCCACCCACCGGAGGTGGGAGGTGCACGACCAGCAGCAGCGGCTTTTCAGCTGAAACTTTGAGGTTACTTGGAATTATAACCTCTGAGTTACCCGGGGTAATAGCTGGACAGTAGCTCGAAGTAATAGCCGTATAGAGACTGGGTATTGTCATCCACGTGAGGTTACGCCCCTGGAAGCACGTGTGGCGTTTGATCTTCTATGTAGACTCTTTGTTGTTATGATAAAAAGCTGCGTCTTCTAAAGAAAGGCTGCCTGGTCTGTGGAGATTCTGCGGCTGCAGATGTAGCGCCGTTATGGGGTAGGTTGTATGAGGGTTCAGAATATATCTTCACTGCAATTCATTTTGGTTCCGACGTTTTTGGGGAGTCGGAATGAATCAATTCTTGATCAAAACTGTGTATAATGATAATGACATAAAATAGTATATTTAATCTCGTATATGAGTAATATTCTACTCGTAGCTCTGCTACCGTAGAGTAGGATGTTGCCCGCGATCAGTTTGTGTGCCTTAACGTCTGCTCTTCTTTCCTTCACATTCCTTTATTGCCGGTCTTTACTTTGTTCCGGCAACCATGACGGTTATAGACCTATCACTCTGGGCATAATTGTTCAGAGTGGCCTGGTCACGTTGGAGTTGATCGTCTTCAAGTCGATGAAATTTCTGACTTCTCATTGCATTTATTACACTATATTCTTTTTCGCCTATGTATTGACTTGTGAGTTCTATTAAACTCGCGCGCTACTTTCAGTGTGTGTTCTGAAGCTTACTATATTGAAATCTGCCACAAGACGAGCGCTCGTGCCTAAAATTCCATAGCCACTAGACGAGTGCTCGTACCTAAAATTCATTGGCCGCAAGTCAAGTGCTCGTACCTAAAATTTCTTAGCCTCAAAACGAATGCTCGTACGTACGGCTAATTATCTCGAGCCCATCATTCCTTACTAGCGAAACTTCTTAATTTTGAGTATAAGGTTACATGTATTTTATGCTTTTCGTGAAGCACGAGAGGACCAACAAGCCGTTGCCGATGCTTTCTTTGCTCTAAGATTCCCTGGAATGTTTTAGTTTATTGCAATATCATAGTTGATGTATTGTTGCAGGCGCAATTATTTTAGTGTTATTCTTTCATTTACTCACACGTTGTGGACTTTTAATTATTGAAGTCGCGCTGCACGAGAGGTAGTTTTGATACAAGAGACAGACTTTGTCAGCCTCCCGTTCTGCCAAAGTTCAATCTAAAATAATCGGCTAATTAACTTGCTGAATACAGCAATGCTTAAACTCTTCATACGGCAGTCCTTACTTTGACTTTCTGACCATGAATACTACTCAAGTTGTCTGTGCTGTGTATCTTCGTGTAATACTATCATAAAAAAGATATTCTTTATACATGAATAGTTTATGTAAATGCATATACTCACATATGTCTGCAGATATCAATTATATTGTTTTTTATTTGGTCATTCTCTGCCTTCGTGTCCGACGAGATGATAGTTTTGGCTTCTCAACGCCCAACGAATCTGTTCCACGCCACATCGTTGCGGACGTTAAGGGAGATGCGAGGTTAACTGGGGTAACGTTATCTCCATGAATACAAAACAAACTACACTGTAAATTACGCGAATCAAAGTAATCGATGTTTGCGATTGGCTATTATAAAGAAACTGTTTTTCCATATGCATGGAGAAGAATGGATAAGAATCGACCGAAACGTGTAGTCCGACGATGGCAAAACGTTTCACAATATTCCAAACATCGTTCACATTGTTCGAAGAAATCATCAATGCCTGCAAACTAGTCAGTATTCGTAGTTTATTAGATACATCCAGCATTTCCTTCGTTGGCAGTTTAGCAGAGCAACGATTGTCAATCCCTGGGCTTTGAGCGAAACTTCAACACTGAAACCTCCCAAAGGTTTTATTGACGTCTCTGGAAAACCTAGTTAGTTGCCACATGTTCACTAGCGCTTCAGCTATCGCACCGAAAGTCAAGATGAACAAACAACAGGGTGAAAGGTCCCAATTATCAAAGGTTTCTTAAATCAAAAAATCATTTATCACCCACAAGGGGCGGAAAGTCTGTCCAGTCCGCTGAAGCTGGCTTGAAAGAAGCAACGTAAGAATCTCAAAGAGACGAAGTGACAAGGAGGGACAGGTGAAAAGTAACAGAAACTAAGATACTAGAACAAAAGGTCGCTTAAACGGGATGTCTACAGCCCGCACGAGAGAGACAGAGATGGGAAATGTAAGGAATCCTACCTACATAATAACTTAACCCTACAACTGAAGCCTGCATAGTCAGACACCGCGGGCTCAGCGGTGGGGCGCTCATGAACAATCCCCTAAGGGCGCGATATCCCATTTATAGGACTTCTGACAAGTACAGACACGCGCCTGAAGTCCCTCCTGAGGCGAATGCCGGAAAACCTAGTTTCAACTCATGTGAACTACCAATAATTGGATCCAAATACCACTATTGCTAGAGAAGATTCAATTGGAGACACTATCAAGACTCATTCCGATGATTCATCAGGTTTGCATTGATGATTAACGTGGAATATGTTGGAGCACACGAAATATTTCGCTACCCTGGCACAGATAAAGCGAAGTGCTGAATGACAAGCAAGCTTTGGTAAATGAATTCGAATTTTAGTATAAATTCGTGTATAGCGAGTAGGATGATTGCACTAACGTCACCATTTAACCATATAATAGCATATGCAATTAAATTAATAAATAACAAATTATGACTACTAAATTACGTCGCATTTTACATAGCGAGCTGAGATTGAAATGATCTATCTAGCTATTAATTAATCGTAGAAACCTAGATAAAAGTGCGAAACTCTTTAAGCGTGCACTATCTTGTACTACAAAATCCGACTGCATAAGCGAGTGTCCGAAATTATTCGGACATAATTCAGGTGAAGAACGAGGCGATGAACTCTGTCAAGAAACCACTGCTATTTTCGCTTATCTTCTGAGTAGAGGAGGCCGGTTCGGGGGAAAGTGGAGTAGAGGCTTTCACAATATTTGAATTGGCATTCTGGTCAACCACGTCAAGGGCTTGTGTTAGTAATACATCAGGTGGGACGCCCTCTTGACGTTTCCACTCGTTAGCATCGGTTACGTCCGCTACATAGTAAAGCTCCTGGTTGCCAGGATTCGATTTTCGCAACTCAGCATTGAGCACTGACAGAGGTAGGCCGTTGATAACTTTAACCCCAATATCATCAGAATCGTTAAAATATCGAATTAATTTGTTGTCGGAAAGGTTGATCTTACTATGATATGTCCCACTTGCCTCATTTGTCGGTTCGTCAGTTTTACCCTTGTTTTCTACCTGCAGTTCCATTTCAATTATATATTTAGGGATTCCAAAAATATGAGTTGGTGTCACATCGGGTTTTAGTTTGGTTTTCAAAATTTCAGACTCGATCAAACTTTCTGGTATTCCGTAGGAATTGGTAGGTTTAATATTTTGAGCTGTCCCAGTTTGTTCATTCAGCTTAGAGGAAGTTTTGGTGTTGGAAGTAACTTCATCTGGTCCGCTTATTGTCTTGAAAGACACCGAAGAGATTACAGGGTCATCAGCAAATAGCGAGGTCACAGATGGTTTCTCCAGATTTTTTCTCTCACCGCTCGTGACCGAAGAAAACTTCACAGGACCAACATCGCTCCCTTTATACGGTACGTAATTTGGTCTCACAAATGACGTGTGCGGAGGTAGTAGGCTTAAAACAGGCTTGCGTAGTTGTTCCAGTATGCTTGATATGCTCTGGGTATCTGGACCAGAAACCGTAAGTTCATCCGAAGTCACCGTAACTTGCATAGGGATAGGACTATCAGTTCTTTGCTCATTTGCTACACCGGATGGGGTACCCAATTGGCTCTGAATTGCGGTTACCAAATCTTGAAGGGTAGTGGTCAAATCTACATTTTCTGTGGTTGGTTTGGAGGGAATTCTACTTGGGGGGTCAGCCGAATTTGATATCGTACTAGTTGAGATCAGAGTTGTTACAGATTCGACAGATGGCGGTCTTATTTGCTCAGATTCTGACTTCAGCGGTACGTAAGATTGTGTGGTAATATCAGCCTCAGGGTTGTAGGGTGCGGCAGATATTTGAGCGGCAAACTTTGTGTAAAATTCTGAGCGGTTCGTGCTTCCAGTGGAAGCGTAGGGGCTTTCTGTAGAAGTGCCAGTTGTTGACTGGCTTTTAGTATGTAATTCAGATGTCGGTCTCCGTTGAACGATTTGCTCAGGGGCATTGGTCGGTTTACGGAAGATGGTAGTAGAAGTTTCAGGGATATTTTCTGTAACGATATGATAGATTTCATCGTTCGACAATGGTGTGGTGGTGATTAGATGAGTTAAAGAGGAGCCCTTGCCTTCCAAAAATTTTACGGGGACTTGAGTTTCTTCAAAAACTTGTTTTTCGAACAATGGCAAGGAAGAATACTCACTATGAAGATGTTCACTTATTACGAAGTACTCGTGCAATGGATAGTCCTGTTCTTCGTAGTAAAGGCCATCGACGAAAGTATCGGTAGAGGGTGTCATAACATCGATATACGGCAGAGGTTTTTTAGACAAAATTTCTTGCAAAGTTAGTTGTGGATGCAAAGTTTCGTAGTCAGCTGCGATGTAGTCAATTACAAAATCCCCATTATCGTTTGAAACTTCTTCCTGTACCAATATCGGTCCAGGTGTGGGTATAGAGAACCTCTTTGTGTCGAAGAACGAGGCGCTGGAGGATGTCGTTGAGCGTGTATATCGCCCGTTCGGTTTGGTCACTTCGCCGAAATGTAACTCCGTTTCATATGGTAAATTCTTTTCAGACTCAAACAAAGAATCAGTAGTCGCTGCAATAGCAGTTGGTCGATGAGAAAACTCGTCAAAACGAGTCTTTGGTGTAGAGCTTAAGAACTTTGTTTGCAGTATCCCTGATGATGGTACACTATTTTCTTTCGCTGGAGTTGTGATAGCGAGTTTTGTTCGTTTTATTTTTTGAGGATTGCTCTGGTAAGTAAGGCCTGTTTTTGTATATGATGATAAATCACCGAAAAATTCGGTTTGCGACGGTTGGGTCGTAGGTATGTGAACCTCGTCAAGAAACTTGACTTCCTTTGATTCTTGCAATTGTGATCTGCTATTGTACAGAAGATTTTGCAATTCTCTGAACACAAATTGTGTAACAGATTCATTTTTCTTTTCGGCATCTTGTTTCGAGGCGGTCCACCCTCCAGTAGACGGAGAAGAGACATTCGTCGCCTCGCTGCCGGTGTCAGGAGTCTGGGCATCACGTTTGGCACGATTTGACTTTACACGCGATAAGTAAGATGAACAGCTCTTTCCGTGCCGCTTTTCACACTCGAGCAAAATTTTATCAACTTCTCGTCTTGAATAATCAGGTTCCTGGTGTTCAAGCAGTTCTTTTTCCAATGCAAGTATTATCTCGACGTTTTTAGAAACTCCCAGAGTAGAGCGAGTTAGGTCAGCTGACACTACATCTCCTTTTCGCCTCAAATTATCCTCTAGATATTTACTGGGATGCAAATTACCCAAGTCGGTTTTAGTTAGCACGTCCTGGTCATGAATGTCCTGCTTCCTAGTTGCCAGAGCAATGTTGCTTGAGTCGTATTCTCCACCTGCATACAGAAGGAACACGTTAGCATCACTCGCAGCGACACTGTGGCAAGCCCCAATTTCATCTTAAACAAAGCCATTAATAGAGTTAATGTTACTTTATATTATTGAGCCCTACTCAGTCGTAAGAGTATCAAATGCCTGTCTTAGTCTTAGAACCTTGCAGCGGCTGCAGGGTGATCGCCATTGTCGGCGCCGCGACGCCCAGAAGCGCCAGCAGCCTAACCAGCAGCGACACGCTCCTCCGCGTCGGCAGCTCAGCGGACTTCATGGAACAAGCGAGAGGAATTCGTGTCTCGATCTGCCGGCAAGGAGATAATTTTTTTATTCGCGAATTAAGTTTGCTCTAGTTTAGTCCCAAATGAAAAGACTACTAAATTCGTATGAATGAATTAAGAAAATTACATACATGTCGCAGTTGCAGGCAACGTCCCAGAAACCTGGAAGAACACAGTTATTCACTTCTGAAACAAACGCATAAGAACAAGGCAATGGTTCCTATCATTGATTCTCAGTGAAAATCATAACATTTTTCCTGGAATAAATGTCCTCCAGACATTTGAACCTACATGATGACTTCGGGGAGATACATAATAATGTTAGGACAAGTGACCAAACTTGCATTGGCATGCTCAATTTACGCATACCAGCTTGAATGTTTTTGCTGCATAAGGGAAAGTTGTGGACTAACAGAACAAAAAACGAAGAGATGTCGCGTCTATCATTCTGCGTTGCGGACCAGGGTTGCCAGATGGCCTAAAAAACGGCCAAGTCCGCGAAACTAAAAAGGCCTATAAAGACCCTATAACTCAATATATACTAGTATACTACTAAGTATAGACTAGGATATACTAGGTTCCGGTGTAAAAATTCCATTTCTTTTTTTGCGGTTTTTAAAATTAAATTATAAAGTACCTATATAACAAATTTTAGCTGAAAACGTAATTTAAAAAAACTAAATCGCGGAATTTGTCCGAAAAAAAGACGTTCTGGCAACCCTGTTGCGGACACAGGAGAAGTTTAAGGGGAGCGTCTCGGTCAAAATCGAAAATTTTGACTTTTTCGGTTTTTATACTCATTTTAAAGCTTACTTTCTGCCGCATCTAACGGTACCAAAACCATCTCTGTACGTTGATTTATGCGTTCACGACAGATCGCGAAAGGGTTAGGGGTGGCGGAGTTCCTTAACTTTTACTATAGGCCTAAATTACCGGTAGCACACTTAAATAGCTAGTCTGAACACGCTGTGCTTCAGTTAGTCTTAGAATTCTGTTTTACATATGTGTACCAAATTTCAGATTGATCCCTCTGTAAATTACTGAGATAAATTTTTAGGGAGACGCTCCCCTTAATTAGGTTCAAAACTAAATTACTGATCACAGATTAGGGAAACAATCCTAAAAAATGTCTATTAATGTCATACCATATTTTGGTCACATATACGAGTTAGATCTTAACTGAGGTATGAAGTATCACTCATGGTCTACTTGGAAAAAGTTGCGGTGCAAACAAAACAACTGATAATTGATGCAAAGTTCCGACCAATTAAATTGTTTCATTATTGTAGTAAAAAAACTGTGCTTCATACAGTTAATTGAAATACAATTGACATTTAACATTTATCAAACAAGAAAACTCACGAAACCTCTTCAAGAATTTTGCAGGTACAAAATCCGAAAATCCATCATTCGCTTTCGTTCATACTTCCCTCGATGATCATAACAATTGGAATTGCATTTTACAATCATAACTCCCAGAGATAACGCGTACAACACAATAATGTATCGTGTCTTGCCATCACAGTCTTGATACCTCAAATGCTCGAAAAATCAAACAGTTTTTTCGGTCTAAATATTAACACACGTGATTACTCAGTTAGTAACATTTAACCCTCTATCGCCTGACATGAGTAACCGGAGTAATGTTGTCACACCAGCCTACCCAAAAAGGATACCGGTACGTTACTAGTGAGCGCAAAATACTTGCACTAATACGTAGTTGCCGCCACGTATGACAACTTTAAAATATTCTCTGTTGCGTACAAAAGTTCTCAGGTTGCTACACTCAATAGATTACGTATAATTCAAGTAGAAAGTTATGTTCCCGGAGAGTGACATCCGGCGGTGGAGGGTTAAATTTTGTTCCTGTGCTAAGCAAAGTTATGCCCACATATAACTTAAGGTGAGTTACTATTGATTTGAATGATAGACTAGCTCCCAACCTGCAGAAGCAAAAGTTTGAACGTACCCGGGGAAAAAGAAAAGAGAGTTAGGATCATAAAGCCTCAAATCTAACGAGAAAGTCCAAGACAAAAACAAGTTTATGCCTGCCGTCGAGCCTCGATCTCGTATGTCTGCGAATCTCTCGTAATACTGAGCCTCTCGTATATCTGCGAGCCTCTCGTATGTCTGCGAGCCTCTCGTATGTCTGCGAGCCTCTCGTATGTCTGCGAGCCTCTCGTATGTCTGCAAGCCTCTCGTATGTCAGCGAGCCTCTCGTACGTCAGCAGGCCTCTCGTATGTCAGCGAGCCTCTCGTACGTCAGCAGGCCTCTCGTACGTCAGCAAGCCTCTGGTGTCTACAAGCCTCTCGTATGTCTGCGAGCCTCTCGTATGTCTGCAAGCCTTTCGTATGTCTGCGAGCCTCTCGTATGTCTGCAAGCCTCTCGTATGTCTGCAAGCCTCTCGTATGTCTGCAAGCCTCTCGTATGTCTGCAAGCCTCTCGTATGTCTGCAAGCCTCTCGTATGTCTGTAAGCCTCTCGTATGTCTGTAAGCCTCTCGTATGTCTGTAAGCCTCTCGTATGTCTGTAAGCCTCTCGTATGTCTGTAAGCCTCTCGTATGTCAGCAAGCCTCTCGTTCGTCTGCAAGCCTCTCGTTTGTCTGCAAGCCTCTCGTATGTTTGCGAGCCTCTGGAATGTGTGCGAGCCTATGTACGAAATACGAATAGGTTACCATATCTTCTAGTATAGCCGTACAATGTTAGGGAAGATCGCAGAGCCGCGGGACACTCTCCCCGCTGCACCTTAACTGCAAAAAGTCAACGCGATGCCCGTCATTGAGACGTAAGAACACCAAGCCAAACTTTCCAAAAGTCTTAGATCATTGCATGGCAATTCGATTTGTCAGAGTTTTCTGCCTTAAAAATACTTGGGCTCAACAACCCTGCAGTATATGCACAAAAATATGCCAAATTATCAGTAAGCGAGTAACGAGTAAAACTTTCTTAAAAAACAATTGAAAAATTCTCATGAATGAATAAAACTTTCTTGCGTACATCAACCCCTGACACATGCAAAACTTTCTTGAGAACAAGTAAATTTTTCTAGCGCACAAGTGGAACTTTCTTACAAACAAGTGAAACTTTCTTGAGAACGAGTTAAATTTTTTTTTGAAAATGAGTAAAATTTTCTTGCCAAAAAGTACAACTTCAAATATCCCAGGGATTAAATTTTGGACCTTTCTTGTCAAATTAGAGACTTTTCATCCTGGTGAAACACTATATGCGGATGAAGCAAGTTTTTCTTTTGCTACTATTCTTTCTCGATGCTAGAGTACCTCAAACTCTTGAATTCATATAGAGGAACAAGAGATATTGTACTGTTCTATTCGTCACTGGAGAGCTTAAAAATTTCTTTCAACATCGTGCGTGCGAAATACCGTATCAAGAATACTTAACTTTTGCTGGGATTGGTTAGATAATCTAGCGATGCTCAATTACGCACGCCACCAACCGCTGCTGGTGACCTATGTTATTCCACTAAGTGATAAGTGAGCGAATAAATGAACTGAGAGACGCCGCGCTCCGAGCTTCATGAAGTTAATTTTTGTCCTGTATTTATCCAACTGAATATTAATAAATCTCATCAGTGGTCTAAAGAATTGCCCCAAACGTATTCTACGCAGGTGAAGAAATAGCTTCACATTGGAGAATGTCTTCCAAATTTATTCACTAATTAGAGAATTCTTCAAATTTATTCACTGCTTGCACAGAGAACGAGGCCTTTAAATGACCAGGCGGGCGGGGCCGGGAGTGGGACAAGACAAGAGCAGGGTTAGGTTAGGGTCGCAAATAGGAAGGGGTAAATGCAAGCGGGAATGAGGGAGATGTTTTTCTTTTAGGTTTTTGACATTCACATGGGAGCGTTTTAGCCTTTTCAGGATTGTAGTGAATACTGATTAATAGAATTTTTGTTAACTGCTGATTGTGATGTAATTCTTTACTTTTTTGACGCTAATACATGAGCTTTTATGCAGCTTGAGTGACCGATATGAAGGTCTTGACAAGTTGACCGGAGGTCAAGACCTTCATTTCAAGTTTAGAAAATGAGAGTGTTGAAGAGAAGTAACTTCACACTAAACTTAGACAGTGGAGGTAATACTAGAAAGCTTCTTACCTTTTCACCGAAAGTAGCGGATCCAGTTATTAGAGAGAAATAAATTTATTCTCCAATTAGTGAATTATAGTCAACAATTTTTTAAAAGGAAAATTTTTCTTAGATTTTCACGGCTATTACGAAAACGTAAATGGCAAAATGCCTCGAGATTTTTTTATATGGCAGAGACAGGCTTCGAGGTCGACTTTGCTACAGCAGTCACAGTTTGAGCGCACTGCTGACTATTCAACCACTCAATATTGTTGCGCGTGGCACACTGGTCAAACCGCATTACCGCACCGCTACACAACCAGTCGGAAAACCGGGCCTGTACAAGAGAGCAACAAATGAATTTCTCGGCAGCCTGGCATAAACGCAACTTATTAGGATTCGATATTATGTATCAATTACGGCTAACTTGGTTAAGCAAGTGTTTCGGGGACCTGTGAGTGAGGTCATTGCGTTCCTAAATCCACCTACAATCGAGCCGAACAATAGTAAATGCCATTTCCCGCTTTCTAACTACGAAGGCGTTCTGATGATTTTCCCACTGCAAGCACTGGTAAAGGTATTCGTCTGTCAGCTGAGGTGTGTGCCGAACCTTGAAGAATTGGGTAATAATTTATTTCTAACTACTTGTTCCTTAGCTCATTTATTCCAAATAATAATATAAGACCTTGAATAGACTTATTCATTTGCTCTCTCAGTGCCTTTTATATTGATTTCACCGAATCGACACTTCAGCGAACTCCCCTGCGAACCCGCCAGCGAACTCGAATGCAAAACCTAACTTCATTTTAAACTCAAACACTCATAAATCCGTCAATAATGAACGGATTTTATTCAAATTTGAAATATGAGTAGATAATATCAGTAATTTGTGGACGGAATTTTTTCAGATTTTTACATCAATAACTTTTTTATTAATACGGAGAACATAACTTCATTTTCAACTCAAACACCCATAAATCCGTCAATAATGAACGAATTTTATTCAAATTTGAAATATAAGTAGATAATATCAGTAATTTGTGGAAGGAATTTTTTCAGATTTTTACATCAATAACTTTTTTATTAATACGGAAAACCTAACTTCATTTTCAACTCAAACACCCATAAATCCGTCAATAATGAACGGATTTTATTCAAATTTGAAATATAAGTAGATAATATCAGTAATTTGTGGACGGAATTTTTTCAAATTTTACATTAATTACTTTTTTATTAATACGGAAAACCTAACTTCACGTTCACCTCGCAGGTTAGGTCCTAGTCAGGTCAAGTTTCAGTATTTTGTAGCATTAGAAAAAGTTATTGATGTAAAAATCTGAAAAAATTCCTTCCACAAATTACTGATATTATCTACTTATATTTCAAATTGGAATAAAATCCGTCCATTATTGACGGATTTATGGGTGTTTGAGTTGAAAATGAAGTTAGGTTTTCCGTATTAACAAAAACGTTATTAATGTGAAAATCTGAAAAAATTCCGTCCACAAATTACTGATATTATCTACTTATATTTCAAATTTGAATAAAATCCGTTCATTATTGACGGATTTATGGGTGTTTGAGTTGAAAATGAAGTTAGGTTTTGCATTCGGGTTCGCAGGCCAGTTCGCACGCGAGTTCGCTGAAGTGTCGGATCTGTAACCCGCGTACCGGCAAGTTTGCATGTGAAAATCGCGTATTATATTGTTGTCTTCAACTAGTTGAATCTATAACGAAGATTCTTTACAAATATCAAATTAAATTCCTGGCTAGTGTCCTTATAAATGAGAGAATGCCAACCCGGCACACGATTTCAGTCAAAGGACCGCATTAATGAATTTTAAACATTCGGCATACCATATACAATTTCGACAATACATAGTTGACATAATTTCACTGAAATCTACAAATTTCAGTGAATAAAACTTAGCAACTCATTCACAAAAATTGATAGCTTGATCTTGGCAGCCAATTCGGTCTGAGGAAAGAACCTCGTACTTCTAGTGTCTATCCCAGTGGTTCCCGAATTTTTTCAGCCTGGCTCCCCAGTGAATCTCTGGCGCCTCTTTTGGCTCCCCAGTGAATTCATCCTCCCCCCCCCCCTCCGGACAGACACATAAAAACAAACGCCTCTTTCTTGATATGTAATACCGTATGCTGCAATTTTAAAAGAGAAAGGTTAAACACAAATGTGTATTTCACAAAAAGAGCCCCATTTAGTAAACTAATATATTTTTTACAGTTTTAACAGTTTCAGCACTAGAAATTCAAGACGGCTCGGACAAATTTACGGCCGGACTCGCCATTCGCCATCTCCAAATCCGGCCAATCTCCAATTGGATTCAGTGACCAAGGAATATCTCCCGAACTAATGAACGCAGCTTGATAAAACTTGGAACACGTATTCATTAGGACCTAACGGTGATGTTTAGCTCGTGAAAAATTTCTCAAATTTCACCTTCATTCGGGAGTTAATTAAGTATGGCGCTACGGGCCGAAATTCACAGTGATCAAAGAATTTCTTTCAAACCACTGAACAGATTCGAACGAAATTTTGAATATAAATTCCAACTACCAAACGATGATTTTTAGCTCGTGAAAATTTATTCGATTGGTGTGATGTTCTACACGTCTTGTGTACAAATCGTCATACAAACGTACGAACTTCTGACTTCGACTTCGCTGACTGCCGCCCCCCAACTGCCCCTTTCTTATCTACTGCCCCTTCCACATCTACTAGTATATCCCAGATGATGGGCCAGATCTTTCCACTGCCCACAGGGTGGCGATATCGCCTACTTTGGTAACCACTGGTCTATCCAATTCACACGTTTAGGCCCGAAACTCGACAATGCTGCCTACTGGATACTCGTTAGTTACTGGCCGGAAGGTTTCAAATACTTTCCTCTCAATTAGGCTACTTTCTATGCACAGCTACACTGAAAATCCAAGCAAAAAAGTTCCTTTTCCATAATCGAAATGAACACTTATGAAGATGTTGACGCAATAGCAAGACCAATATAATAAATTGATTACTTACACAATTGGAAGACGTTAGCAGTACGAGTAGAGGCGATTTTTCACAGTGCAGAAGCTGACTCGTTTCGTTCAGATTATGATGACTGCATTCTGCAGTGACTTCACCGTATTTGACCGTAAAAATCACGTCATGTAAGTGAGGTCGCCCTGGTATCAAAGCAAGATTGTGGAAGATAGAACCCATTACAATGGCGAAGTGTGGCTCCACGTGTGTGGTGGAACAAATATGCCCTGACCATGGCCTCTGACGTTGATAGTTATTTACACAGGATAGGATCATCGATCTCCTTAAAGGTTGGAAAATTCGATTGGGTGAGTACGTGGAACGCCTTGGAAATATACTGGAATCATTGGTATAAGTGCTTAGTGTCTTATTAAGTCTTCCAAATTCCATCCAATTCGTGCCACTTTTCTTCTATTTACAGTCGAGTAATTTAATGATGTTTACTTTCCGACTTTCGAGGAAGTAAGATTGTCAACCATGGAGTCGACTCCCACCGCACAGTATACACTCGCACAGAACTTCGAAGACGTCTAAATTGTTAAGAACGGGTCCCTGAATAAGATTGTCTTGCACGACATTTATTAAATTAATTTTAAGGCTTTGTGCGTGTAGAATAGAATCCAGTCAATCCACCAGCGGATTCTGAGTTCTGACATGCTCTAAGCCTCCTAGGCAATATACAAATTACAGGTTTAATCGCGTTAGTCCGCCACCCACAACTGAAATCATGAAATGGCATATCGTCGTCGAACTGGGGAGCGCAGCCGTGCACCAATAAGCCCTGAATCGAACGCCTTGTATCTCTCCGGACCTACACCAATCAGCCGTGCACCACTCGGCTTTGTCCTCTTCCGGCCTTGACCACCACCAGCCGTGCACCACCAGGCCGCGGATCGAATATGACTTCCAGGCATCGTTAAATTACGTAATTTTGCGTTCACCGCATCTGCGGTTAGGTTTCAGATAGCATAGTTCTGTTCCAAAATTTACATCCAGGGCAGTGGTGGTCTTCGGCAGGTGACCCGTCAAACTGGAATCACGGATCCACCACTCCGAATTTCGTTCATAATCACAACAAAGATAAAAAAGAATTCTAGAAGCGATTCCACAATGAATTAGGGCAATTTAAATTTTTCCCGAAATATTTTTACTCAACTTGTACTATATAATAAATGAATCAAATGACATTTTTTTTAAATTTCGTCTTCAACCAAATTATCTCTTTTATAGAAATTAGAATACGAAGTTTGAACATTGACCTAATATATTGAAGAAATTATGCCTGTAAATAAAATCATCAATCATACTACCGCATTCCGACGGTCGCTGCAATGCACTTAGCTATGATACGGAAACCGCTAACGGAAGACCTCTTTTCAAAAGATCAGAAATGCAACTGTCAATAGTGCATTAATACTCGAATTAGGTTTCTGTTATTAATCAAGGTCAAAAGGTACTCAATGGTTTGAACGAATAAGTTTATTGGAAAATTAAGCGCTTCTTTCTTAACAGGACATAACTTCTAAACGACAAAATGGATGTCTGAAGACCAAGAAATAGATTTAACATAATATTGGCAACTTTAATCCTCTCGAGAAGGTTACTGAAGGTCGTAGAAGTTGATTAAGTTGCTGACGGCCACCGGTGGAAAGTCTTCTCACAGTTGCAAACTTGGTGGAAAAATGCCAAAAGAGAATGTACCGTCAGGACTACGCGGAAAGCATAAGCAACGGTCACGCAGATGGTAGTTAATTGAGCGAGTCCTGGAATTTTTACGCCATATGGGATTCATTTTAACAATATCACTCACTGGGAAACTTCAAAAGAACAATTAGATGTAAAATATTCTATTAAATTCCAGAATAAATGAATTTGCCGCAGAGATGATAAATTCAGCGTCCGCGCTAAAGCAACAGCAAATAGAAGCACGCTGTCTATCACTATTGATATAAGATTTAAACAGCCTTCTATATGTTCATCACATTATCCATCATTCAGTACACTAATATTGCAAAGGGTCCTACTGAAGAATACTCGGTAGTTCACTAGTTAGCATGCAGCTTCTGAGAATAGAAGTAAATCGACACTGACATGAATAAAACGAATCTACGCAATACTGATATAGATACTTTATTGTTTATCAACGAGAGAGCAATACAGGTAGTAAAGTTCTTAATGTGCTTCTGCATTCACACCTTTATTTAATTTAAATTAATTAATAAGTTTACTCTCTAATGCATCACAATTCCCATTCCTAACGGCTATTTCGCAGATATTTAATTTATTACGATGCTCGTACACCAAACAACAGCGTGGTTATTCACCAAATGTTTTTCTAGAACATTTAACAACGGACTTACACATGAAGGATGAATAGGAATCCTCTTAAAATCTAGAGATCCTTTTCCACTAGACATCTAGAGATCTTTTTCTACTAAGTTACTTTGCATCAGAGTAACCTTGGCATATATAGACGTACTTGATCCGACGCTCGAGCGCCGGCCTCAAGAATCAAGGAATGACGAGGAACTTAGATGCGACGGCTAGTCGGCCGTTGATTATAAAACAATCATATCTTTCTCTTAAAACATAACACTCTTTGGTTTCAAACATGAATTTTCTGCAGTACTAAAATATATTTTAATTATAACTAAGGATCAAAGAAGACTTCATTAGGAAGAGAGAAATTCGAGGATGTAACAAGCACCGCGGCTTAAGATAACGCTGAAAGTGATTGGCGTTACAGAGAAGTTTACTGGATTCTTAAGAGCGTCACAAGTAATGCAAAATGTTTCAAAAGCTAAATGAGAATATTTTGTCTACTAATATCGGTGTTGAATCAGCTATGATAAAACGACTCAAAGGAAACTAGAATGTCAATAAAGTCATCTCCGATTGGGATATACGTCGCTATTACATCAAGATAGCACAGTTACTGAGGGGTTTAAAGATATAAAGATCAAATCTCTAGGCTCTTTTCTAGGCACAGGAAGTCTATGTGCCTTGATCCAGACAAATTTGATAGAGATCAGCGTCGCTGTCGCGATCCTCGCTCTTCATGGAGGCACAGTCATCGTCAGCGATGGAGAACGAGCAATTGTTTTTGAGAACGGAAGACGGCCCGCTGCCTCCCTCCAAATGTGGGGAGGTGTTGGGGACAACACTTGTGGATGAGAAAGAATAAGTTGCTGACGACGACGAAGGTGCTTGTTCTGAGGAATATTTAGCATCTACAGGAGTGGGAAACCCTTCTCGAGGCCCCACGAAAGACGAAGAGGGAAAGGTCGGCCAAGAACGGTAGTAAAAACTTATTGGCGTATGGAGCATCTCGGTAATTTGCGGTAGATCGACGACAGTGTTACTGTTGACGATGCCGTGACGAATCAGGAAGTCGAGGAGCACGGGAGCTGAGGTGAGCTTGAAATTAGGGCTCAGCAAATACGGCATTATGTCCTGCAAATACACCAGCAAAATCAAGTTATAATTTACAAGAATTTACAGTATTGATGATTGAAAATACACACGAGGTACAAAAGCTGCCCATATAATATTACGCGTATATATCTACAGCTAATACACGTGGAGCATAAGAGTACTACGAATTTCACCAGCATTCAATCATTAATAAGCTTCTCTACATGAGGAGTGACTGCAACACAACCAATATTAAACGAGTTGATCGATGGATAATTTCACACCTCGGTGGTGATAAGAGCGAAGCCCTGAACTTCTCCATCGTTGATACTGGGCTTGAAGTCGGCGGGCAGCTCGAGATCGAAAACGTACTCTGTGTTGGCGTGGATACCTCGGTCAGACTCCGTCAAGAACCTGCCGCATTTACAATACTTATTACTTTACATCGTCGTTTGTCAGCAAGGGGAATGACAACGTAGAATAACGAACCCTTATTCGCATCAGATTCATTTGCACGAACAAATAAATAAGCACTGATTCTATAGCTTGCATTCTAGGGAGCCGTCACGCGGTCTACGTACAATTCGTACCCTGAGGTAATCTCATTGATCCCTGTTATGTATTCGTCTCGATCTTACTTGATAATTTAGTGCAGATTTAAAAGAATTTTATAATATATTCGTGGAACTACTTCAAGATGGGCACCGACTTCAGGTCATTATCAATCAAGTAGGTGGGCATCAATGCTAGCAAACCCTGACGACCAAGCGTGTGATAATATTTCGTTTATAAACGCGATTGTGGGGCCCACAAAGTTAAGAGTCTAAATAACATGTCACTGTGCCACAAAAAATATACACATATGTTTAAAGGTGGAGTTGTGATAATGTTTTGTTTATAAACGCGATCATGAAACTCACGAGACGGAGCCTGCCGACTTGGCGCGCTCGATCAAATGGGCGGGGATGGAGGCCTCTTCCTCAGCCTCTTTGAATAGCACCTGCAATAAATGCGGCATTAATCTGGCACGTCTTATCGTAAATGTGGCACGTCTTATCATCAATCTGGCACGTCTTATCATCAATCTGGCACGTCTTATCGTAAATGTGACACGTCTCATCATAAATGTGGCACGTCTATCATAAATGTGGCACGTCTTATCGTAAATGTGGCCCGTCTAAGTGCAAACGTAGCGTGCCGTGGCGTAAAGTGGTGCGCGGTGACGTTAAAAGTGGCGCATTTTCGGCGCAATTGCGTTGGTATTTTGTACCATCACGCACTGAGTCTTGGGGGGATTGAATTTATGCCTTGGGCTCACAGAAATTAAGTGAAATAGTATCAATCTATGCACAGTTCTTGTCGCCGGCCATCATGTTGACCATCATGACAAGGTACATGATTTAGTCCTAACGTACCTGAGTGGCGGTCAGCGAGTCGCTCATGCCGCCGGCCACCATGTTGTCCATCATGCCGGGGTACGTAGGCTTGTTGTCTGCACGCTTCTGGAGCCACACCCCCGCCACGTCACCGGCAGCGTTGCGCACGAACCCCGTGAGGTGCACGCCGAACGCACGGATGCCCAGCAGCGCTGTAAGTACCCTTAGTGAGAGGAGCATTTAGGGCAGCAAGTACTAACAGTTGGGGTAGCAAGTACCAACAGTTGGAGCAGCAAGGACCAACAGTTGGGCAGCAAGTAAAAAACAGTCGGGGCAGCAAGTACAACAGTCGGGGCAGCAAGTACAAACAGTTGGGGCAGCAAGTACCAACAATTGGGGCAGCAGGCACCAACAGTTGGGGCAGCAAGTACCAACATTTGAGGCAGCAAGTACCAACAGTTGAGGCAGCAAGTACCAACAGTTAGGGCAGCAAGTACCAACAGTTGGAGCAGCAAGTACCAACAGTTGGGGCAGCAAGTACCAACAGTTGGGGCAGCAAGTACCAACAGTTGGGGCAGCAAGTACCAACAGTTG